CAATTGCCCACATTTTTTTGTTTCAATTGTACTTCCAAGAATGCACGTTAAACATCAACTAAATGTATTGGTTATTCAAAATTGTTGAAACTTTCCATTCTCTCAAGTATAAATATTAAGGCAATGCCAGTCCATGCCGTAAACTAATCTCTTATTCAGTTGTAATACAATAAAAAATGATAGTTTTACACAAAAATGTAGTATTTAAACAATCTTAATAATAACTATAAATGATTTTTTGTTAATTCTGACATATGTGATAAAATGGTACATTACGTCACTAGCACAAAGTACAAACATGAGCGCCCGAAGGGCGCGATTGTTGTATGTTGGTGCCTGAGTCACGTATAATGTTTTTTTTACCGTGGGTCCGTGGGCACACTTTGCGCCCGGTAAATCACTTCGGGCCCTAGGGAAGAGAAGTACTTTGGGCCCGGAGGGCGCAAAAAACTTTTCTGTCCGTGGGCCTAAGTGATTCTGAGGGCGCAAAGTGTAACCCAAGGTCGCAAAGCGGCATTTGCACTTTGGGCTCATGGTAAGAAAATAATGTTCAAACGTTTAATATTTTTTTTGTAAAATTGTCAACTTTGTTATATTAAACAAAGAAATTAAAAGAGTACTAATGTACAAATTCATTCAATTCAGTAACTTCGAAAATAGTTTGTTGTCACTTTCTGGTAGATTCGTAACATTTTGACTACTATTATACATTGAAAATTATTGTAATATTTTTACAGCTTCTTTTAGACTTTAATCTTACTAATACGTAAAGAAAAGTCATTGCATAACACAACACTGAACCTCCAAACTTACTGAATGCCATAAAAAAATAGGCTTTCTGAATGCCAACGACTCTGGCGTAACACCAGGAGAGCCAGAGCACATGTGCTTTAAAACTTTGAGGATTTCGTGGCCGTTCTTCCAACCGACCTAGTGCTACCAGAGCAGATTTTGCTGTAACAGCAATCCAGGTATAATAGCCCTGAAGAGTTCAAGGAGCCACATAGGTTGGAAATTTTATCATCCTCCTTCTCAGTGGTTCGTCTACAAAAACGCATTTTTTTAATACCAGCAGCTTTTTTGACATCTTAATAGAAATAAAATTAATTAATAACATACTGCTTCATGCTCCATTGATTTTTAGAGTGGCGTTATGAGAAAATCGGTCCCCTTTTGAGAAATGGTTAATTTTTAATGTATTATATTTATTTTCAAGGTAACACGATAAATTATAAAAACACACTAATATTTTTTTCTTTTTTTCCAATTCTTTTTCGCATACACGTGTATACGTATCAATGGAAAACTCAGTGAAATTTTAAAGCTTCACAAACTCATAGGAATAAAGTGAGAAACTTATAAAAATGCATTTTTTTAAATTTTAAAGTGGCATAATAGATCTTTTAAAAATTACAAATTATTTTTACTATTTTTTTATATATGTATTGATAGAAAATTCAGAATTTTTCAAGCCTGGCGCCCTTCACATCTTAAAAAACTTCTAGGATTTATGTGTAAGGCTTTGGAAAATGTATTCTATTCGATTCTAATTCATTGTTTTCCAAGCCTGGCGGCCTTTTACCGCTTGAAAAACTTATTGGTTTTAAAAAGGCAAAATAGATCTCTAAAAAATTGAATCTTTTTTCTCCTATTTTTCCGCATGTATGTGTATACATGTCGATGGAAAACTTAGTATTTTCCAAGCCTGGCGGACTTATACAGCTCAAAAAACTTATAGAAATTGCGCGCAAGACTAATAGAAATGTATTCTACTTGAATTTAAAGTGGCACAATCGTTTTTAAAAAGTTACAAGATTTTTCCCATTTTTTTCATGTACGCATAGTATTCGGACTATGCAACAGTTTGAAAGAGCGCCACCACTGGCGGTAGTGAGAGTCACTGAAGCGGAAATAATGCTCGGAAGTAAGTGACAATTTCTCTTTCTTAATTTAATCTCACAAATCTATCGAGTAAGAAGACATTTATACAAGTAATAATAAATTTTTCATTATCTAATTAACTGTTTTTTTCCATTCGCTTTGAGGTTATATATTTTTTGTGATGTTTGTTTTTAGAAAAATGGATAAAGTTATCACAGACAATGGAAAATTTATAACTACTTGTATAAACGTCTTGTAACTCGATGAATTTGTAAGATTAAATTATTAATGAGAAATTGTTACTTACTTTCATGCATTCTCTCCAGTCCAGTGACTCCTACTGTCGCCAGTGGTGGTGCTCTATCAAACTCTTGCACAGTTTAAATACGTATCGACGGAAAACTCAGTATTATTCAAGTCTGATGATCTTCCATGACTTTAAATGACTTATCGAAGTAATGCGTGGGGAAATGGCAACGATATATACACACACACACACACACACACACACACACACACACACACACACACACATATATATATATATATATATACACACACGTTTATCAAGAGGTAACTTATGCGGACAATCACATGTATGTAAGGGTTATTATGACAAAAGTGGAATTATGTGGACTTCCGCATAATTCTACCATGTTATTAATATATATGTTAGAAGCACGTGAAGTCCGCATCAGTCACTATTTATAAACATACACACACATATATATATATATATGTATATATTGTTTCTTGACTTGAATGAGTCAACAAAAAAATTTTAAGCCTCAGGGCCCGTCAGGATCGATTAGTTTCTAGTAAGGCTACTTTGTCGTGGGGCTAGTTTTAGCTTAATATTACTAAGTCAGTCATTCACTGGCAGATGTCAAGAGCAGAGTTTTTCGCTGCAAGACTGGACACCCTGGCTACCAATAAGTTTGCATTATCCCTTTAACTGTAAGCATTCAACCAGGAATCACTGATCCTCTTTGAGGTCTGCACTGGGCAAACCTAACAGTAAAGCTATAAAGGAAAAATAAACTTAAGCAAACGGGACAGTCTCGAACAGCCAAGTATCACCAACAGATCTCCTTACCTTATAATACTTAAACGACTGAGCTCTACAAAAAAGGAAAGTGCTTTGGACACCACGTGTCCAGCGTAATATCATGAGACGTTAGGAAAGAGCTCTTCAACTGGTTCTGATGCTTCAGACGTTGTTGTTTTCTTTCCAATCAGTCTGGTGCTACAACAACAGGCCAGAGAATATAATCCTGAGGTATCCAGGCAGTCACGTTTGCTGGAAACGTCAGTCAAGAGAGAGTTAAGCTCACTGGTCCTTATTTGGTAAATCGAACGTCAAACTACTTTGTCAACAAATACATAATGACTTGAAAAAGTTACCAAAAACAGCCTTTAGGGCTCACAAAAATTTTAAACATATCTATTGTAACAAGAGAGCGCATTGAAAGAAAAATTCCAAATGTTTAAAATTGTAGGCGTCAGGAAACTGACGCAGACATTTATCGAGATTGAAACAACAGCGTCAAAATCAACAAATAAAGAATCCATTACGCGAGAAATCAACTTTTCATTATAACCCTGATAACAGTAATCACGTAAATCCTCCAGATTTTTGAATAGGTAGAATAATATTTATTCGTATTTATTGTGGCAATAAAAAATAAGGACGTTAAGCTCCAGGACTTTGCTGCTCTGGTAATTGGCGATGGTAATGGAAAATAAACTGCATGGATGCCAAACAAAAATATTCTAAATAGACGTTTTTTGTTCTGAGAAATGTCAAGAATATATGTAAAATTTTTAACTGAAAACCTTTACAAAACGTGTCAACACACTTGGTGTTCCATTCAGTGAGTTTCAGATGAAGACGGAAAGGCTGTTAGTATCTACTATCTATTTACTTTGTAACTTTGTCGCACATATTTTGACGTGTATTTTCTATCTGAAACTTAGGAAATGCGCTTGTATTTTCTTTATAATTATAATCAAAAATATATTTTTTACTCCCTGCTAATGCACAGCCATCAATATTTACAGCACCTTTTTTAAGTAAATTAAAACTTGTTATCCTGTACGCATGTATTGGACTAAAGCCTTTTTCACTGTAAATAAAAGTACACCGAATGACAGAATAATGCAGATGTAAATGGGACAGAAAGTTTTAGAGGTAGTAAAAAGCCAAAGTCACTGCTTCATATGCAGCGATCTGTAGGAGCTTCTCCCTCTCCCTACCAGTATCGCCAAGAGTCTAGCGGTTGAGCCCGGTAAAGCAGAGTAAGACCAGCACGCGATATTAAGTTAGCAGTATTTTGATCAGAAACGTTATTTAATCTTTTATATTCAAGTTAACCTGTTTATCTTTAGTGAAAGCTTTCATTTTTCACGGTCAATGCTACCAAGTCTTATTAAATTGCAAAAATAAAAGTAGTATATTTAGTCCAGAATGCTGTGGGAACTTTGGCGGACAAAATATAGTGCAGGGACTGTCTAAGAGGGGGGGCATAGAGCAGTGGTGGGGAAATTGATTGCAAAATGAAATGGTTTTAAATAACGATTTTTGTATCAAATTTTCACTTATTTTGTAGTATGCTCCGTTTAGGGCTATGGGTTGTAGAAAGTGGCGAAGGACGGTGAAGGGTTTTTGTGGAGTGGCCAAGACAAATAACTTAATAATATGGAGTAATATATTTAAAAATTGTTTTTTTTTTGAATAAGCTTTATAACAAGAAAAAATTACAATTGGCAAATGCAGTTATATTTTTATTTACTAAATCTGAGAAGAAAAGAATGATAAAAGTTTTATTAAAGTTTTTACTTCACATATTCAATACAAAAATTATGAATCAAAAAGATCTGCAAATCAAATTAATCAGTCCGCATTATACAACACACATACTTGTTTATTTCCTAATATTTCTCTTTCAGTGTTAAGAAATACTGATGAATAAAAAAATAAACTTTACTATTTTATTAAATACATAGCTTGTAAATTACCATCATGAGTCAATGTATTATTCGCATTACACTTAAAATGGATTTTAAAATGGGTAAAAAAATGTATTGCAAGAAACACAACGTAAACATCAGTTACATACCAGTTAAAAGCAAAAATATCGTCTGATCCTTAGGCTCTGTAGCTTGGATTCCGCCTTTAATAATTACTGCTGTAATTTGCTGAAACCATTTAGTCAATGCTTCTTTTCTGAGCACTTCTATTTCATGGATATGCGAATCTGTGATGAAAAATAAAATGGATATGTATTTAAAATAGACGATTGTGTTATGGTGTATGATTATTTTGAATACCTTGTATTTTTACTAAAACAAAACTTAAAAAGTTTAAGTAACACCTTCTCGTTATAATAAACATTATTTATACATTCTTAAAAGATAAGAAATAAACCTTTTACATTTTAAATAGAACCATGACAAAATAATTACGTATACTTTTTTTAACAGTAATATAAAATTTATATTGCATTACGGACTTATTTTTTTTTTACATAATTCGTAATACAGAATTTTTGTACTGTTTTCTTCAATGCATTTATATACGTACTCGAATATACATGAATATATATGTATATATGTATGTATTTATTGACATTTGTGTATCTGAGATTTTACAATATTAAATTACAGTAACAATACGACAAATTTTTTTAAATTCATTTTTTCAAAGTTATTGGCCGACACTCTTACTTTTTAAAGTTTTTTTTTGTTTTAAACTCTACCTTCTGCCTTTTTCGTCCATCATTTTTTGATGATAAAGAAATGTATATTTGACTACTGAGGAATAAAGGGACTGAAGTATTGTCTACATCCACAAAATTTTTCAATGTTATAAAATAAAACTAATTCACTTTTTTTGATAGTTTTTGTTGGATCAACCTGTTTTAAAAAACCTTACGATGTACCTGGATTAACATTTAACAAATAAACAGGCTTGAACACTAGCCTATTTATTGTGAATACAAAACTTTCAATTACAGAATAAAACAAGTAACGAATTGTTTCGATTGTATTATCAAAAAATATGAGCGTAAGTCGAATACCTTATGATAAGCGTAATAAGTTTCACGCGCGAGAAAGACTAAAATAAAAATATAATTTGCGACTGCAAAAAAAAATGTACCGAATGTAATATATATTTATGAATTTTTTTTATTTTTTATCGTTAGTATTAGGATTGCAAAAGATGATAGATGGGTATCACTGCAAAGAAGCGGAGGCGTCAAAAGAAAAAAACAAATAGCTCCGAAGAGCAATATGAATGTTCAAATGAGGCAAATCTCACGGACAAAGTATAAAGTAAATCAAATATCAAAGTTGAAGAGATATTGAAAAAATAAATAGATAAATAATATGTATACAAAAGAAATTAGAACTAAAAATAAAAAAATAAAAATGTTGATAGTTTTGTAAAGTAGTAAGAATAAGTTATGTGCGTTCTGCAAAAAGAAGATGTAAATAGTAAGTTAAGGCCACTATTAAGAAGCAGTCAGTTGTAAAGCTAGAAAAGTCTAATACAAATTGAATACTATCGTAGAAAATAATGGATATTTGTACTATCTATAAAGAAAACTGGAATCTGGAAGTAAGTAAACGAAATCTTCATTTTAATGCTTAAAATGTCAGTTTTGCTAGGGAGGAAGGGGGGTTAATGTAACGGAATTGTCCGTTACAAATTTCAGGATTAAAAGTAGAAGAATTGAACTTAATTTTCTTGTTTGTTTTACAAATATTGTTAACAAATAATTTAATTTTTTTAAAGCTGTGGAAGTTTACAAAGTAAAGGTCTTTAGTTTTCAGGAAACAGTTTAGCAAATGTTAGGTATTCTCTTTTTCAACTTTAATCAATTCGCATACTTTGTATTATTTCTCATGTAATATTAATTAGAAAAAGTAATATTACATGAGAAAGGCTCAAGAAAAAAAACGAATTTAATAAAAATCAGTCTTTAATTATGCCAAAAATTTCTATCTTCTAATTCGACTTATGATTACCTGATTTTTAAGTTCCTAGCTCTTCATTTTTTTTATGGAAGAAAGACCCTTATGCCTATATACTGTAGAGTTTTCATAACTATGTCATAAATGTGTCATTATTTTGTATACTGCAAATTGTAAACAACCATTTAAAAAAATATATTTTTGTTCTCTGCAACGTACATTAATCAGACTATTTTTTTTTCCTTTTTATGACTTTTAATCAAAATTAAGCTTTTGCTATCTATCTAATTCAATCTTCTATGTAAAACTTTCTCTATCGACAAAATACCTAAGCATACTTAAATCTGCTCAACTCATCTAAGATTATCAAAACTTCTAGCTTAAGATTTGTTAACAGTCAAGAAAAACGCTAAAACTTAACAAAATTGTAATCTGTAAAAAATAAAAGTTAATAACGATGTGCTTTTTGTATTCGAAGTCACATTTAGAATACGATGAAATGTAAAAAACAATTAAACGAAATAATTAAGAGATGAATAACTGTTTGAATTTTTAAAAAATATTAGTGGAAAGTTGAAATTCGCGTTTTTTTTTTTTTTACTATAGAATTGAAATTAAAAAATATGTAATTAATTAGGTTTACATAAAATGCATAAAATAAAAATTTAATTTCAACTATCTGAGATAATAACACAGCCCCACAAAAAAAATATTATTTCAATGGACTTGACCCCTAAAACTGTATGTTATTCGGGTCGCTGAACCTGAATCTGAGGTCCGTATGATACTGTCACGTCAAGAATGCAGTTATTTCCAAGTTAAATTCAGGGATTGGCTGAAACAGAGTTATAGTCATGTCCATATGTTTTGGAAGTCGTGGACCGCAAATACACTCTTGTGATTGATCAACTCACGCATAGTTTAGTACTATTTACCACACCTTTTTTCCAGACATCTGATTGGCTGCCAAGCGACTGGCATCATTTATTCAAATTTTCGTTGTTCGATGAGGTTGGGCAAAAAATAATTAGGATTTCGCGCGAGGAGCGCCATCATATTCTAGTGAGTAAGAAGTGTATATCTTACTTAAGAATATTTTACCACCATCGCAGGGTATATTAATTTATTTACAGCCTAGGATTTAAAGGAAACCGTGTTTCGGTAAAATAAGAATTTTTATGGTGTTGTGTTATATAAGACTCATATAGAGGCCTTGCATCAGGCTGTTACATGGTTTTTTATAATTTGACCTTAAATGGTTCTTGAACTTAATCCAATTAAGTATTAATGACCCCAGATTTGTGTCCCACAACTTCAAAAATATATAAGTATGATTATAAGTCTGTTTTAAGGAATTTCCTGAATTTGACCTTGAAATGACTACAATCTTGACCTGAGAGGGTCAAACAAACCCCGAATTGAGGTTCAGAAATCCAAAAAACATTTGGTTCTAATGGTCATGCAAATTTACGTAACCAATAAAATGTAAATACTATTTTACGACTCATAAATACTAATTTTTGTAGATATTGATGTTATTAATCGATGGGTAAGTATTATGTCAAATTATTATACATTTACGTCTTTCCATCTAAATTGCGCTATGTATATTTTTTATAGAAACGTCGCGCTTATTTTAAGAGTGAAAATCGCTGGAGTGCGGAAAACTTTGTCAATTAAAAATTACAAAGCAGTGAAAAAAGTTATCCGCTTCGGCCAGGAGTCGAACCTGGGCCTCCTTCTTATCGGGAAGGTGCGTTAACCAACTTCGCCACCGAAGCCTCGGCGGACACCCTCCTTCACTGCTCTGCTTAGGCGTGTCTTTAGGTCGATTGCCGATATTATAGATATTGATGTTATTAATCAATAGCTAAGTATTATGTCAAATTATTATACATTGACCCTTTCCATCTAAATTGCGCTAGATATATTTTTTATAGAAAATTTTCACTCTAAAAATAAGTACGACATTTCTATAAAAAATATATCTAGCGCAATTTAGATGGAAAGGGTCAATGTATAATAATTTGACATAATACTAATTTTTGTTAAAAATTTGTAGAAAAACTGATTGTAACGTTTATATTTGATATTTCACATTCGTTATAATAATCTAAATAGTTGCCTACTACTCAAGCAAATATCAATATATATATACAAATCCGACCTTCTGATTGTCTTACAGATTTTTGTACTTCTTGAGTAGAATTTCTCTGCCCCTTTCAAAAATTTCTCTGATTTTAAAAAAATTCTTCTTCCCCGTTCGCTTTTTTCATAAGATCTTACGCTGCCTCATCTCCTACTTTTTCGACTGCTACTTTAACTTCAATACCTTATTTTCTCAAAATTTTTTTCATTATTTCACTTATTTTCTTTATAAAGCATGTATGTGACCATCTGCTTTTTTCCATCCTTAAGATGAGCATCAAAATTTTTTAGCTCTTTTGCTGATGTCTACTTCTATGCCCACTTCTGCTTTGATTTTCATATGTATCTTGGTGAGTACGCATTGAATTCCGTCATTATTATTGTGAATTAACCCTCTATCTTTTTCACTTCATCCTTTCTACCCCATCCTCATGTCCCTGCACAGCTTACGCAGCCTGCATTTATTATTGAATGTGCAAGAAATAATCTTCGACTCAGACTGCTCACTTGAGCTCTTTTGCTTGAATCCCAAACTGCATTAACTGCCTTTTAAATTCTACCAACCGTTTTTTTTTCCCGCATCTTATAAAACTAAGTTTAATGTATACCAGACTCCTAGATATTCACAATTAGAAATCAAATGTAGTGATATCCCTTTAAATTAAAACGTGTTTATTCCTATTCTTCCTCTATTCATGAAAATTACAACTTTAATTTTTTTCATACTTAGTTTCAGCTTATTTTTCGTACCGTATTTCATTAAGGGCATTATTGTTTGTTTTATACCATCTGGTATTCTGCGCGTAGTACTATATCAGTAAACAAAGGCATTCCCGTTTCCTTGTTTTTCCATTAAAGTTTTTATTTTTGAATCGCTATCTAAAACTCATTTAAATTTGCTGTTTTCTACTTTGCCTTTTTTCTTATTTCTTTATTTAAATTTTGTCTTTTTTTCTATTTCTTAGCCATTTTTCAAGTTTTCCTGTAATCTTTTTTTTTTGCTCAACTATTCTCTGCTCAAACCCCGCTTTTTAATTCTGCCGCGCTTACGCTCTTTAGATCAAATCATTTTCCATTTTTTGCAGTCTTTTTGATAATCCAACAAACCTGCCATATCTTTCTGAGCTATTCA